GCAGTGAGGAAGAGGTTGGAAGTAGTGATACTATATATGTTAAAAAGCCATGGGTGGTGTAAATATTATGCAAAGCATTCAGAGTACAAAAATTAAATATTATGCAAAGCATTCAGAGTACAAAAATCAGAAGATGGTATGGCATTATGAAAGATATAATAATTCAGAGAGTGAAGGAGGGGTTGTTGAGGTGAATTGGACACTGAGAAAGGATGGACTAGTACATGATATCCAAGAACATGTATAAATCTGGGAGAGAGTGAAAGGGGTCATCCCAGGAAAGGATGACTGTTTGGATTTATATAAAAAAATATGAAGTTTAGATTACCGAGAACATTTAAGCAAGAAAGAATCTGAAATAATTAATTTAAACTGGAAATTCAAACTTAAAAAGGATATCCTATGCAGTATCACATTGTTATTATTATAATAATAAAAAAAAAGTGCTAAACCTACAAGGGTTATCAGTGCAGCAGAGCAGGAGATAGTGCAGGATTATAAAGTAGCAAGGATGGAGTGGACAACAGAGGAAGAGTTAAAAAGGGTTGTGAGGAGTGCTAGAGGAAGGGTCATCAAAGTTTGTGTAGTAAAACAGTATTGCAACAGTGAATACTTTAGGTATCTTTAAGAACAGACTGAATGTGTACATGACTGGGAGTAAATGGATGTGAGTAGCACCTGTCTAGCAGGGGCTAGTAGACCTACTGCAGTGCTCCTTTATTCTTATACAATTATTACATGTGAAGTGGGAAGGGTTTAAGAATATGACTAAAATTGGCTAATATGCCTGCTGCAATGCTTCTCTATTATTATATTCTTATGGACATGGATAATATACAGCATTAAAGAGTATGACATATCTACCATAAATATTATTGTGATGAAAATACATATTTTAATGTCACAATACTGTACATTAATGAAAATGTTTAGTAACTCAACATAGAAAAATAAATTAATAGAAACATACAGCATTTAAAAACAGAAATAACACATCATTATCAAGGGATAAAGAACACACTGAAATTAATAAAATAATCATGAATTAATACTCTTCACATGTTGATGGATAATGTGTCTATATTTTACTAAGTCACCAAGTCTGCTGCTTGATTAGCTTATTAATGTTGGTAACTTCACCAGATACCTCTAGTGTAGCATGATGTTAAAAACACAAAAAGTAATATTCCTCCTCCTTTGCAGCTTTATTACACCTGTACTCTTCAGATTTAGTCTTAAATTTATTTACGTTATTACAGGCCCTGACATGATTAGGAAACCCATTCCCATTTCTTGCTGCTGTATGCCTAGTGGCACACTATTTAATATAGCTGCTCATCTGAACCCAAAAAAAAATAGTTATTTCTTTGGGAAATTGTTATTTTGGAAGAAATTAGTAGCATAAATAAATAGTACTTTTACTTTTATGAGAGGACAAACGATCGTGATGAAATGCACATCTGGCCTAATCAGTAGCTAACATTTAGATTCAGCATTCCAGTAATATACATGTACGCTGTATTCAGTTCATGAACAATGGACTAATGTTGACATGTCAAAAATCACCTAGGTTAGCTTAGGTTATTTTTATGTACTGTACATTCCAAAACAATGCAGTACAGCCTCTCCTCACTTACTGATGGAGTTTCGTTCCTAAGACCACATCAGTAAATGAATTCATCGCTAATCGAGGAATCACCCCTTACTGATACAGTGGTACCTTGATTTACAAGTTTAATCTGTTCTGTGGCCTAGCTCATAACTTAATTTGCTCGTACATCAAATCAATTTTCCTCACTGAAATTAACTGAAATGCCATTAATCCGTTCCAGGAGAATTCCTGCTCTTGGGAGGCAGGAGAAAATACTTCAAGATAATGCTAATATCAACTCTGTGGCTTATTTATCTATCATAAGTGATCTAATATGACATAATAAACAAAATAAATAACATTGAAACATGATATATATACTCTAGAATGAATAAAATATGTCATTATGTGAAAAGTGGTGGTGGCCACTCCCGCTCTGACCATATCTTCCCATTCTTCCCCTTCTGAAAAGGAGTGTTTGTGAGGCTAACTGTACTAGATCACTAGTTTCATAAGGAAAACAATGAAACAATATATTTATAAATAAGAAATATTGTATAAACACATAATAAAACATAATAGAGAATGTAAAGAAATAAACTGGTTTTATAAAGTGTACGTACGTATTTATCTTGGAGAACAGGTACTGGTGGAGGTGGAGGTGCAGGGTGGAAAAGAAAGGCTACTTGCTATACTCTTAATGGTACACTTTATCGCTTGGCTGGCACTATAGCCTTTATCAACTTCTTCTGCTTTAGTATTGTACATATCGTAGAAGTACACCTACCATCCGACTTTCGACCAAGTTCGGTTCCGAGAAACCGGTCGTAAGTCGAACTTTACTACTGAATATCAACAAAATATTTTTGTAATGACTTTATTTTGTTTTATTTTGGTATTTCATGTTTTACTTTACTTTTTATGTTGTTAGTACTGTATTTTATACTGTAAGGTTTAGGATAAACACTGTGTACAACACAAATAGTTGTTTATTTCCCAGAAATTTGGCATAAAAAACACGGTCGTAAGTCAAGTGGTCGTAAGTCGAGCAGGTCGTAAGTCGGATGGTAGGTGTACTACGTTTGTACTGCCTGGCCAAGTCCACAACCTGCACACCTCACTCGTGTTTATCTATGATATCATTCTTTAATTCAAGGGACATCATCCTCTTTTTCTTCTCAGCACTGTCCTTTGCACTTACTTTCTTAGGGCCCATGGTTAGAAAAAAGAAACTTTGAAAAATAATTGCACAAAATGCAAGCACAACACAAGAGAAATGCCAACTAGTGGCAGAGTTCTGAAACGTAACTCGGATTTTGGCTCGTAACTCAGAGCAAAAAATCGACTGAGCGATGGCTCATAACACAAAAAACTCGTATGTTGGGGCACTCGTAAGTCAAGGTTCCACTGTACCTCTAAAATATCACCACCCAAAATTAAACCATTCAGTTTTATGTTTGCTGTGAAAATCCTTTCAATCCGTTCACTAGTAACGGTGATGCAACATGAAATAGGTCAATAACTTACTTCCAAGATATTCCAGGAAACGCACGCATAGATTACAGTGGACCCCTGCCTTACGAACGCATCGCGTTACGTTAAATCTGCCATACGAAGCATTTGAACACAAAAATTTCGCCTCGCCTTATGTGTTTCGGCCGGGACGCGTCCCATGTTTGGCCTCAGCACCAGTATTTACAAGCCAGCCAGTGCGGTCGCGTCTACGCATACATTCGGTACATTTCACATTATCCCAGTGTTTTTAGTGCTTGTAACTGCAAAATAAGTCACCATGGATCTCAAGAAAGCTTCTAGTGCCATCCCTGTAGTAAAAAGAGCGAGAATTAGTATGGAATTGAAAAAAAGGGATTAAGGAAATGTGTGCATAGTGGGTTGAACTGCAAACCTTTATGGATGAAACTCACCCTGACACAGCTACTGCAAGCCATGTTGGCAACCTGTACAATGACAATGTTATGGCCCATTTTAGGAAAGTCTTAAACGAACGGGAGGTACAGAGCTCTATGGACAGATTTGTTGTGCGACAGAGGTCCAGTGACTCTCAAGCTGGTCCTAGTGGCATTAAAAGAAGAAGGGAAGTAACCCTGGAAAAGGACTTGCTACTTCAAGTCCTAACGGAAGGGGATTCCCCTTCTAAACAATAACTTTCACACACTCCCCTCCTCCCATCCTATCAATCATCACCAGATCTTCAATAAAGCTAAGTGTCATGTATTCTATTCTCAGCATAGTAGTAATTGTGCATGTCTTCTTCAGTTTGTGTGTATTAAAATTAATATTTCATGTGGTAAAATTTTTTTTTTTTCATACTTTGGGGTGTCAGGAACGGATTAATTTGATTTCCATTATTTTTTATGGGGAAAATTAATTCAGCTAACGATGAGCTCTCAGGAACGGATTAATATCGTAAGGAGGGGGTCCACTGTACTTGGAAAAAAAAAATAGAGAAAATTGCGCTTTTTCAGTCTTTGCATAGGATAAGAGTGATCTTCTATAGTTACCCTTCAGGCGCATAACGTTTTCTGTAATGATTACGGTCACTTTTTTTTTTTATTCCTCCCCACCCTCCACTGCCCACCCTTCAATACCTCTCCATATAATGTCAGTTTTTATTCATTTGAGCGTCTTTATCATGCTTCTATGTTATTTATAAAAACATAAAAAAGAAGCACTGCAGCAGGCTTACTGGCCCATGCAAGGCAGGTCCAACTCACACCCACCCACATCCACTCGTGTATTTATCTAACCTATTTTTAAAACTATGAGAGGTTTTTAGCTTCAATGATGCTACTCAGGAGTTTGTTCCACTCAGCCACAACTCTATTACCAAACCAGTGCTTTCCTACATCTTTTCTGAATCTAAATTTTTCCAATTTGAAACCATTGCTTCGAGTCCTATCTTGGTTAGATATTTTTAGCAAATCATTTACATTCCCTTTATTTATTCCCGTTGTCCATTTATACACTTCAAGCATATCTCCCCTAATTCTACACACACAAACACACACACACACACACACACAGATGTAGGTCCAGGAGCTATGAATCGATCCCTGCAACCACAAAGTTACAGGGTGATGTGATGCTTGGATGCCTTAGAACAAAGGCTGCTATGGGATTTAGTTATGCTAGGGAAAAAAGGGACTAAAAGATATTGGGTTTTGCTTGGCTAGGACAGTGGAAATGGGACAGATATGTGGCATTTTTGTTCTAGGAATAATGACAATGGAATAATGTGTAGTGATGAACTTGGCATGAAAGGAGAGGGAAAAGCATGATACTGTTACTCCAGGAATATGAACTAGGGACTTGTGAACTTCAACAGCAAAAGTAAGAAAGAAAAAAAAAAAGATAATTTGACTACTACAGTGTGACTGCCACATTTAACCTCGCTGTCTTCCCTCAACAACCATAACAATGGCTGGGTACACCCAGCAGGCTCTTCTTTGTGATGGTGTTCCCATGCTGGAGACTCAGCAAGTCAGCTGGAATAAGACAACAGCAGCTGTGTGAGAGAATGATAAACACTGCGAGGGTCAGCACTGGCTGCCAAGAAGACAGCAAACACAAAATATTAGCTTCTTGTTGGGTTTTTTCTTAACCCACAACCTTTTCCAGGCCTTGCAATAACCCATGGCCTTCCCCAGACCTTGTCACCTGATACTGTGACCTTACTCAGACCTTGCAAATCTCCTGACCTTCCCCAAACCTTGTTCCTTGATATTGTGACTTCCTCAGACCTTGGAAGATACCCCTGACCTTCTCCAAACCTTGTTGCCTGATCATGTAACCTTCCCCAGACCTTGCAAGATCCCCTGACCTACTGCGCACTTTACGTGATCCCACGACCTTTCCCAGAGCTTTGCTGATCCCATGAACTTCCCTGGACCTTGCCTGATCCCATGACTCTTGCCAGACCATTCTTGTTCCAACGTCCTTCCCCCAGACCTTGATTGACCCCATGACCTTTACCCAAACCTTGTCTGCTCCTATTACCTTCCCCAGACCTTGGCTTACCTGTACTCACCCCATGACATTTTCCCTAAATCTTGCCTTACCTGTCATACACCAAACAGACAGGCATCTACAAACATTAACAAGTGAGGTTAACAAGAAAAACCATAGAGATGTGACTGACTGAATTCATTTAATATTCTTTCAATGCGATGCCAATTCTCCCATAGTAAAAACAGAAGAAGATTGAGGACAGGCATTAATGAACACTGCATCTCATACACTCATAGGTAGAAGAAGCCTCCAAGCGAAATCAAGGTATCGGTAAGAACAGTAGGAAGAGATAAAAAAAAAAAAGGACCAGGGGCGTGAAAGAGTCCATACAGCAAACAATTAGCAATCTTCACATGACTAAGCAATTAATGTATTATTATTATTATTATTATAATCAAAAAGAAGCGCTAAGCCACAAGGGCTATACAGCGCTGCATCAGCAATTAATGTAACTCTTTTGGCGATGAAAGACATCATACGAACTATTCTCAGTCGCTACTGATAAACAGTGATGTCACCATCATACAGAAAACACCTTAAATAATGCATATACTGTATTGTTATTAGTAGAAGTAGTGGTGATATAATAATAACGATAAATTACAACTGCTTTATTATATTTATGTGGAAGCACTAAACATATAGGGGTCAAATGACCCCCTAGGAAACTGGGAGGCAAACAGGTTTAATCTAAGCAAGAGAGAACGTACCTCCAATTCTTTGCATCAAGAGCCCTTGAACAGCCTCAGAACATCTACCATTCATTTTTTTTTTTTAACACAGGGTTTGACAAGGTCAGGTTAAGGATCCATAGCTTTATTGACAAGCTATTTACAGGTTAAGGATTCCTAACTTTGACAAGCTAAGAGCTGTTACCTACATCAGCTCATTTGAAAGCATTTTTATTGTTATGAAACATACAAGTAGGGAACAGGATGAAGTTGGAGCCATCTGTGGGCCAGCATTTTCATCTGATCAGCTGACTTTATCTCGTTGACATCATAATGCTGTACAAATGTGTTCCATACTCGAGTCATCCTGGGGATAAATGATCTCTGATGAAGTGATGTTCTGGAGAAGGGTACAGCCAGAGTGAAGTTGCTGCTTTCTGCCCATCTTGTGGTACAGAAGCTTGCTTCACGCAGTCCTCGAAGTGGATCAAAGTGTGGGACTTTGACAGTACTGGCCTTGTACATAACAGTAAGGCCACCCACATCCCTCCTGTGTTGAAGGCTCTGCTGAAATGACAGATCTATCCAGGATGGGTCCAGGCGAGAGATGAGACGTCTTGCTTTGTTCTATACTCTGTCAAGTAGTCGCAGATGAAAGGGGGGCAGGCGAACCAAGAAAGTGGAGCATACTCAAGGTGTGAGTGTACTTGTGCCTCGTACAAAATCTTGCAACCCCTGCTGTCAAGCAGATGCGAGATACAGCGAAGTGCTGTAAGCTTCCTGGCTGCCTTGTTTGCAAGATTTACAACATGGTTTTTCATGGTCAGTTTGGAGTCAAATTTCACCCCAAGGATATCAACTTCTTCCCCAGGTGCCAACACCCTCCCATTCATCCTTACTACTGCACCGGCATTACCATCATGGTGCCTAGAGATCATCATCATTTGTGTTTTCTCAGGTGCCAATGTTACTTGACATCTATTTCCCCAAGCTGATATAGCTCTCAGCTGGTGATTGGTGTAGCTTAGAGCAGCTGGCATTTCTTCTCTTGGATAAGTGAATGTCAGTGTACAGTCGTCTGCATATGCATGGGATTCTGGGATGAGATGAAGAAAGTCACTGAAGTAGACATTCCATAACAAAGGTCCCAGAATGCTTCCTTGTGGAACACTTGCCCCAATAGGATGTCTTGCTGATTTTGTACCATTGAGAACTACCCTTAGAGATCTACCATGAAGGTAATCACTGAGGAGACATAGCATCGGGCCTGCAATTCCCAGAGCTTGCAGTTTTGCTAAGAGGCCCTGATGCCACACTTGGTCGAAAGCACCAGCATTGTCCAGTGCTACCACACAGCTGACTTTGGATTCATCCAGTGACTGGTGCCACTTAGTGGAGAGGTTTAACAACAGATCAGCAGCAGAGTAACCTTTCCTGAAGCCATATTGACAATTACAAAGTAGTGAGTGGTAGTCAAAAAACTCTGTCATTTGTCTTGAGATTATTGTCTCAAGGAGCCTCCTAGTGATTGACAGGATTGACACTGGTCTGTAGTTGTTGATTTCTGCTCTGCTCTTCTTTTTATGAACAGGGACTACATTTGCCTCTTTCCACAGAGAAGGCCATTTACACTGTACAGTGGACCCCCGGTTAACGATATTTTTTCACTCCAGAAGTATGTTCAGGTGCCAGTACTGACCGAATTTGTTCCCATAAGGAATATTGTGAAGTAGATTAGTCCATTTCAGACCCCCAAACATACACGTACAAACGCACTTACATAAATACACTTACATAATTGTTCGCATTCGGAGGTAATCGTTATGCGGGGGTCCACTGTACTAGGCAATGCTGAAAGATGCGAGTTAGAGGTGCTGCTAGCTGGTCTGCACATCTTCTCAGGGAGGCCTGGTCGTGGACTCGGCCGTGGGGGCGTTGATCCCCTGAATAACCTCCAGGTAGACTCCAGGTAGCAATCTTGGGCTCAACTTGTCTGGGCCCACAGACTTTTCTTGGTCAAGCGATTTAGGAAGGAAATGCACCTCTTCCTGCCTTATTGTCACCACTGACAGTTTTGACACAGATCTTGCAGCTAGCCAAGGAGGGTCCCTTGCTGGATCAGGAACTTGCAGTTTGGTAGCAAAGTGTTCGGCAAAGAGGTCCGCTTTCCCTTGACTACTCATAGAGGTGGTCCCATCCTGTCGAATGTCACACCCCTAAGTCGTCCTAACCGCACAGGCATTTCCTGAATCGAGAGATCCCTTAGGTCCTGCCAGTGAAAGGTATGGTGGAGGCACCATCCATCATTTAATGCAGTATTTGTTAACATTTCGCTCACACAGCAGGTTTAACCAAGTCACAAACAGATCTAAATGGAGAGAGGAAGAGCCTACACAGTCACAATACATAGGCTCATCTTCTATTTCCAAGTAGATGTAACTGTGCAGTGGCATTGTAAGGGGGGGTGGGAGGGGTATCTGCCCCAAGTGACACCATCAAGGGGTGACACCATAGAGCCTCTAAAATATGTTATACCTAATATTATTCTGTAATAAATATGATAGGTAGATAACTTTTATTGATAGTAATAGTATAATTATCCCACATCTGTCAAGCAGATGTGGGATACGGCAATGTGCTGTAAGCTCCCTGACTGCCTTGTTTGCAAGATTTACATGGTTCTTCATGGTTAGTTTGGAGTCAAATTTCACCCCAAGGATATCAACTTCTTCTCCAGGTGCCAACACCCTCCCATTCATCCTTACTACTGCACCAGCATTACCATCATGGTGCCTAGAGACCATCATCAGTCCGGAGTTCATAGATGAGGAAATATCCAAAATTTATGAAATAGGTAATGATTTGAAATACCCAAGAAACATAATTGATAAATCTTTAAAACTGTAGAAAATACTTTTTTACAATCCAAAAAGGGAAACAGCCTTATCAACTAAAAATAAAGTTGGTTTTTTTTCTCCCTTACCATGAAAACTTGGTTGGTTTAATGCCTTCTCTTCTTAAGACTTTTAATATCAAAGTTGTATTTAAAAATCTTGTACAGTAAAAAAAACTTTTGATAAGAAATTCCCCCAAAATGCTGATCTGATGGATGTGTCATTAGATTCCTTGTAAAATTTGCGATTAAAGCTTATTATGGTCAAAATGGTAAAGTCTCGAACTATGATGAAAAAAACATAAATATAGCATGAGACTGGACCAAGATTCATGCTCTATTTATTCATGCGAGAGATTTTAAAGCATCCAATTAGTTTTCAAAAAGTAAGAAAGTTGTATCAAGCAAGTCCATTGTCAACAGGAATATAATTGATCTTGTTCATAAAAAGCAGTTTTTGACAATAATATGAATATTTCTTTGGTTTATTTAAATTAGATCCATTTTATAATTGATATGTAATTTGCGAAGAATTTAATAATCAATTGAACAAATAATAAATTTTTAACCCCCCCTTTCTTAATTCTTGGGTAGATAGTTTGTCTGGTGGGTTGTGTGAAGGACCTGTTAGTTGGGCCCAGCGGTCCTGCTGCAGTGTTCCCATTTCTTATGAGTCGCGCGTCAGTGTTGCTTTGTTGTGGGATGTGATATTGAGCGTGTGGGCTGACCCTTTATATGCCTTCCTTTGATGCATTACTTTCATTGTTCTTGATAATGTGAGTAGTCACGAAGCGCTTGGAATTTCTCTAATCTTTTACAGAGTGATTGTTTGCATATTGAAATCACCTGTCACTGTGATCTTATAATCATCACAAAACACTCTATATAAAAAAACATATTCAAAAAATCAAAT